GATCGCCCGTACAAATGGGGAGACAATTTGTTCATCCTTGTCTATATCTCCCTCGGACTCGAGTCTGTGGCGGGTATCATGGAGGCGCACCCGAGGATCCCCTTGGGGCTTTCCTTCTCTTGGCCTTCTCGTCGTGGATTCCACCTGAGACTTGGCTGCCATGGCATCTCCTAATATTCTAAAGCAGAGATCCCATAGGGACAGGCCCGCATTGTGATCCCACTATGATTTCTTCTTGGGAGCTGGCCTCCAGCTTCAATAGTTATGCCTCTCAGACGTGCGCCCGTGCAAGCCCTTCCCTGGGGCATCTTGCCTTGCGCCCCTAGAGCAGCCTCGACTGAGACTTCGATTCTCTCATTCATAGCTTCGCCAACTCGCATTCCTTGACTGCTCAAAACTGTCAAGCTGTCGTCGAACCTTAGCGTTTTCCTCCTCGAGTTGCTTGATGTGCTTGCTCATCCGCTTTTCAACCATCTCAACAATATCACGAGCCAAAAGGCCTTGCCCCCCTAAGGCCTTGATCCACGGGGAAGGTTTGTTGAGAGGACTGCTCCCTTTTGCTTGACTGGCTCAAGGGATCTGACTCTGTAACTACTGGGAGCTGGATAGCCTTCGTGTTTCTCACGCACAAACTTCCTCCCTCTTCACCCTAAGATCGTGTGTTTACCATAATACGATCGCTACGGGGAAATGTTCATGTAAGGTTCTCACAGATGGCGCCAAATTACACAGGAGAATTCCTGCAACAGATTGAGATAGCAACCTGTAAACAATCATAGGGTTAGAAAAAGGGGGTCGGGTGAACACTCGGCTTATCCCCTCCAAAGCTTAAGTCAGTATTTGATTAGAGGCTTGAGCACAATGTATATGTATCTTGGTTTAATGTTGCGTACCTTTGTTCACTTTTCTGAGGAATATTTATACTGGGAATAGTAATGAGTGCTAAGACCTCAAGTCTCATCTGAACATTCAATGCCTGACACTCTTACCTACGAAGATTTGAATATTCTCCACCCAAATCTTCACATATTTAATGTTAGGATGATAGGACGAGTGTTTAGGGACACGCCAAACACTTATGGCTATTCCTAAGCACTCAAGTGTCTATGATCGGCGCTTGAAACCTACTACTGAGCGTTCAATGCTCGGGGGAAACAGTACCTCGAGGCGCACTAAGGAGGCATTCTCGGCATATCAACCATTAATGTCTAGCTATCATGACTGCAAGTTTAGGCTTTTGAGGGTGTAGAGGCCCATTAATGATACTATCTCCGTCACTCACATCTCCATAAATGAGTAGTCAAGTCGCATTAAATGCGGGTGCCAGCTTGTGTACTCGGCTCATATGAGCCGTCATCTCTCGGCTCCACTCGGCGTCCTTTGGACTCCATAACGGCTACAATTTTACACTTGTCGATCTGGGAGTCACGCCACTTTCTATGTCAAAGCAAAGACTTGATCATGATTTCTTGAATTTACCATACAATTTGTACCGAACCTTATTTAAATGAATAAAAAACTTCACTTTGAATCGAAGAGAAGTGTGATCAATTCATCCAAAAGATGATATATATTTGAGTTATAATATTTTTAGTTTCATTTAGATTGTATAACATTTTTTTTTGGTTTGAAAGGTTGTGTAACATTACTCTACCAGTGTGTTTGCTCCACTGTTATCAGAACCAGACCGGACCGGCAGGTCGGACCAGTTCAACTGTGAACTGGGACCCTAATCGGTCTGGTTCCTTAGTTGAACCGCTTAAGGAAGCGAATCGGCTGATTTGTAACAAAAACTGTTACATAAATAAATTTTTTTGCCTTAAATCAATAAATAGCTATTTTTTTTAACCTTATTCTTGGATAAATTATAAATGATACCCTTTCTTTTTCTTTATAATTTACTTGAACCCCTTTACTTTGCTTTAAAATACAATAACCCCCACTTTGTCACTTAATTTTATGGCAAATTATACATATTTTATATTTTTTAGCTAAATTATTAAGTTTTATAATTATTATATATATATTTTTATTTTTTTATTATATGACCGGTCCGACCAGTTGACCCAACGGTTGAATCAATGAACCATTGACACGGTTCCCTTCCCGGTTCGATGACCGGTTCAGTTCTGATAATATTGGTTTGCTCTCTCTCTCTCTCTTTTTTGATTCGTCAATTTGTCATCGGACAATCCATCCACCTGTTTAGCCAGCAGTGATCGGTGGCCTACAACGACCCGGAAAATTGATCAGCAGCCCGTCCCAATCCAAAACAGGTAAACTCGGATTTTGACCCATCTCCGTAGATGGAAAATCCCAATTGGGCTCTTTCTAGCTTTTATATTTGAAACCCAGCCGTAATTATGAATCTCAGTGTTTTGCCCTCGGCACTCAAGTTTTCAGCCGTTACAATCTCCCCTCCCTCCCTCCCATATTCCCCCTCTCCTTCTCGTATTCCACCTCTCTCCCTTTAATTCTTTTCTAGCGGCGATTTAAGGACTTCTTCAATTGTAGAATTCAGTTAACGATTAGAATGCCCTGCTCTCTTTGCAATTACATAAATCAGTTTACAACCCCTACCCTCTTTCTTTTAATGCTCTGTTTGTGGGTATACACATTCCACCACAAAATTAATTGACATCCTCCCAGTTCATAAGTACCGTCATCTGCCAATTGACACATTTCTACTTTGCCCCTCACTGTTGGACGCCCCCAGCTTTTGTGTATTGGCAATGCGCAACCATCGGGTATTGCTTGATCAGGTAATGAATTTTAGTTGCAGGTAATGTATCTCAGTTGTTCAGGGGATGTTTTTTAGTTCCTGCGTGGGTATTGTTGTATTTAGGTTTTTCGTAATATTTGATCATTAGCGAGTTAGCCAGTCAATTAGGATAGCCCTAATCTTCTCATTGATGTCAAACTGTTGTTCTATATAGTTTGGTGAAACACAACTAGAACTCTATATACAGTGATTATTGTTTAGTCAACAAAACTTCAATACCATGTAATCACAATTCTGTAATGTACGAAAGTTTTAATCTAAGCATATAAATCAAAGTGTCCATTTGCTTTTTTGTTTAATTTGAACAAAAATGTAGATATTAATTATATAGGCAAAGGATATGTAAAAAGTGGGTTGGGGTTTTTGAGATGTTTATGATGTTTTTTGGTTATTTGGAGGGTTGTAATATTGGATTTGGAGAAATGTATTGGTCTTGGGACCATTTGTATGTATAGATTGAGGTGTGAAACTTTTTTGTGATTTTATTGTGTTTTGGTTTTTCAGAATTCTATTACCTTTTCTTTTTTGGAGGTGTTATGTGGGGGAGGAAAGGGCTTTTTGTGAACTCATGTTATTTCTTTTGGGGGAAAAAGATGTTCCCGAATGTTGTTCTGGAACTTTAGGGAATGAGAATAATTGGGCAGCTTTGTTTGAATTGACCAAGCTGTCCTCATTAATTCATATTTCTAACCTTTTTTTTTTGGTCATTAAATTTTTGTGGTGTTAAAAGGGGTCATTTTTTCCTAGATTTTCTTTTCCCCTTCGTAATTTTTTGGCTTCCATAATCTGTGGACCTAAAAAATTCCCTGGTTCATTTGTTGTAGGTATTGATTTTAGGTGATATCTTACCTTGGATTGAAGTTGTTAAATATCAACTTGAAGTGTGTGCAAAACTCTAATTGGTAAATTGTGTGGACACATAGTCTGAAAATATGCCCACACCCATTTTTGATGTCCCAAGTGTAATGGAAATACAATAGAGGTATACCACAGAGGGCATGAACATCTGAACATAACAAGGAAAATATTAAATATGTCTTGAATTGATAAAAGCAGCTTTCTTTGTTTATATACTAAATAACTATAAATATGCCATGCGTTTCTTGCTTGATTCCTTGGTGAGGGACCGCTTAAAATGCCAATTTATAATTATCTGGGAATCTTAAATCAATATAAAACTTGTGATTGTGATTTACATTTTGTTTTGGTTTTGATATTTCGAAGCTTAAACATATGGGTAGTTCTTTATTAGCCAATGTTTTTGACTTCCACTATACTTTTTTTTTTGGGATATATGAGGGTATTGGTTGTTGGCTGCATAACATCTACTATTTTTAATTTTCTTACCAACCTATGACATATTTCATTTTCTCATATTTCATGCGTGACATGTATTACTACTGAAATTCAGCCTTTCTCCCATTGTTGTGAATACCCTTTTTCTGTTTAACTTTCCAGAGACATCAACATATGTTTTTCAGGTCATGTCCTTAGAATACAACTCACATATAAAAAATTTACAAATTATATCTTTTATTGAGCATGTGTCAAACTTGGATCATGAAGTGAACATCAAAGTTTACTAAAATTGTGGCTTTTTGGGGTAGTGTTATTGTGGAGATGTATGTTGCCTACAGGATGAGGGTGCAACCAGCCCACTATACATACATGAGATTGATTTACTTTAAAAATAAAAATAACAAATAAAGCTTCGTTGAACTATCCTTAAACAAAACTTTCATACCATGTCACCCTTTGTTTGATTGCTTATAAAATATATAGAAAAAAAAACATCAATTGAATTTGGTTTTGAATCGTAGGTTGTTTAGTACTTGGAAGCTGAGAAACCATGAACCTCTAAAGTCCACCATTAACAACAATCCGGCTTGGTTAAAAATTCCATAAAGCATGACATGTGGAATAAATTCCATAAAGCATGACATGTTCTCTCCATTTCCCTTAGTTCTCTGAGTTGAGATAGAATCTAATGGGCTTTTTTTTTCCTCTTTATTTCAAGGCCTTCAACAATCAGAATCCCTTATCATTTTATCCGCCCAAAATGTAGTTGACTAGCTTATAAAAAAAATCATAGATACTTCATGTTTGCAATATATGTACTTGCCAAAAAAAAAAAGAAAAGAATAATAGGCTTTTAAGTGCTTTATTCATTTTGTGCATGAGGGAGCTATTTGTTTGATGAAAATACTTGTTTATGCAGGAGATGATTACAAGATCAAGGTGTGGAACTAAAAGTTGCATAGGTTTTTCTTTACCCTTGGACATCTTGATTAAATGTGTACAGTTTAATTTCACTGTGAGTGGAACTGGCAATTCCGTAGTTGTATTTATGTGTTGAATTGACATATTTATTATGTGATGTGTGCTTGTTCCATCCCAAAGAGGACTTGGTTGTTTCCGTGTCATTGGATAAAACTATTCGTGTTCGATATATTGGTGCACTGAAGAAAAAAAAAGTTTCCACAGCTAATGACATCCTTTGGTTAAGCCAGATGAACACAATTTTTGGTGTATTGATATTGTTGTAAAGTATGTCTTAGAGGGCCATGATCAAGGAGCCAATTGGATTCCAGTCCATCCCACTCTCCCTCTGATTGTTTCTGGAACAGATGATCGCCAAGTGAAAATTTGGCGAATGAATGATATGCTTGCCAAGGTCTTGTCTTCTTGTCATGGGTTCTATATTTTTTTTTTACAAGGTTATTTTCTTGGCACTAATAGGATGCCTTTAAAGTACACATTCTATTTCGAATTTGGAATGAAGAGTAATTTTTTTGGAAGTCACAATCAACTATAGTTAAAGAGTATCCACTTCTTGCATAAAGAGTACGTTTATAGAACATTAATGTCAAGGATTGAACTACTAGAAAGGGTAATGTAGCTGATAAAGAAGCTGTGATCTTGACCTATGCATAATGATGCATTCAGCACGTGTGAGAATTTTTTAGTGAAGTATTACTTTCATATACCATATTGGACCCTTGCCTCTACACATTTGTGTTGCTACGTTCTTTTCGGGGATCCAAATTTAGGGGGAGATAATTATATATTTGTTTTCATCATGAGGAACATAATTAACCATGTTGCTTGAAAGGCTTAATTTGAATTAAAACTATGTGTTTGTCTTCTTGGTTTTAGGTTTTTGAAGCATACGTTGGAGTGTTATTGCTCAAAATTGCGTTAGTGATGTTTCGAGGAGCATTGCTATACATGAAAGACATGTGGTGCATTACATCCGCATGTTACTGTTTATTTGATTCGCCATCTCCCTCAACAAAGTTAAAGTGCATTATGGTCACCACAAACTTGTTAAGAATACGTATAAGCTTTTATTTTCGATTAAACTTTAGCTATTATACTCTAGCTTAGTGCTTTTATTCAATGTATGGTCTTTCAATGACAATTTGGCCGCATAACACATTGGTGTAAAAATTAAAATTAAAATTCAAAAAAAATAATAAGTCAATAGTTCACGTGCAATGCACGTGTGCATTAAGTAGTATTCAATGTATCGGTTAGACAATGTCACGATAATACTCAGATTTAGGGTCAAATCTAGACCAACATTATTACGCCTGGGATCAATCTTGGGTCCTATATATGCGCTAGTTTCAAGCTTCAATTGCCTCTCTCCCCCTCAGATCATCTTCCTCCTCTCTGTAATTTGCTACTTAGCATTAAGGTTTTACAGTTCCATTCTTTAGGTTCGTACCTCAATTCTGCTAAATTTCATCTGGATAGTTACAAACGCTCGTGTTCTACAGGAAATTCTACATGATTGGTCTAATTGTCACTCTCCCACATTGAGTGTCTGAAGCGAACACTAACTCGAGCATTTATCTTAAAGGCATTCTTCACGAGTAACCAATGTTAGTCGTTTTCTATCTGTTAATATAATCTTTCAAGTTTTCTTTGTAAAATTGTAATTCTTTATGGAGTTTTTGAATGTTAGGGGAGCTATTACATTGGAACTTCGATGTCCTCAGAATGTTGATGGAATCCCAATTGATCCTCAGCCGGATTGGAGTTTTGATACTCTCTTGTCAGAGCTCAATTCGATTGAAAAGAAGCTTAATTCTTCTTCAAAATTTTCTTTACCTTTCACCAAAATGGAGTTGCGGTACTGTGTCTGGTTTATTATTTGTTTTCTAATAATATTTAATGTATCTTCTGTTTGGCAATTATTTGGTTTTTCAATTTATGCTGTGTTTACTTATTTGTTTTTACCGATTCTTGTTCAGAAAATTTCCAGCTGCTAAGGCAAATGAAAGAAGACCGAGGGCATTCGTAATGCGTGTCTCGGATGATGAAATGGAGGAATTAGAAAGGGATGGTGAGGAAAGAGAGACTCATGGCCGACAATTGGTTGCCAGTAGGCGATTCGCCTGTGATGAACTTTATTTAAGGTGCCTTGCCTATTAGTTAATTTTATAGTAAAATGTGGTCAAAGAATTGATCTTTCGGCACGTACCTCGTACCTCGTGTATATTCATTCAAAGAATTGTGTTTAAATATTTTCCAACTCATAACAACAAGCTTGAAGACATTTTCGCAACATTTTATTTAGTCCTTTTGCCAATGACTTTATTAGAGATTTATATCATGTAAAATCTCTATATGATTCATAGCACAATGTCATGAGAACAAAATCTAAGAGCGGAAAACAAGAGCAAGAACTAATAAATTTTATGTTAAAAGTTATAATGGTTCCTTAAGGGGGTTCATGCCCCAGTTGGACATTTATGGTGGTGCTTTATACGTTTCCAAAAAAAGAAAAAAAAAATTCTGCAGCTGAAACATGCCAAGATGATGATTTCAAGTATGACTCTATTGTTTAATCTAATTGTACAGTCTCTTGTCTAAAAAAGCTGTAATTGCATGGCTTTTGAAAATTTTTCTTCTGTATGTAATTTCTGGTGGGAGCTCTCCACAGTAAAGGGACCCTCATATTTGATTCTGGGAAGTTCAAATGAAAAACGATGAAGTAGATTGTAGAGACACTTTAATCTTAGATTTCACTTATGAGACTCTACTAGTCAAATAGACATTTGATATTTCATATCCTTATTCTACAAGTGTTGTTCATAACAACAGTTCTGAAATGTTGGGTGCTTACCGAATTTGTCTTAATTTCAGTGACAGTGATGATTCTGAAGATGAGTTGACTCTTGGAACCCAGCTCCAATTGATGAATAGAGTGGGCTTAGTGGAAGGTGCACTGTCTGAGTTAGCCCATGAACATCAGCTTAGCATAACGGTGTGCAACATTATTAACTATTTGTAATTTCTTTCGTCTGTGAAAGCCTTGAAACTGAATAGTTTAAGAGTTAACATTTTTCTAGTTGATTTCTATTACTGAAAAGTAATTTTGAGACGCTAAACATTCATGTTTTACTCTTTGAACCCGTCATTGGTGATTGTGGGAATAAGACACTGATTGGCTGATGCTGCATTAAAGTGGTTAGAAAATCTTACCTCTACGATTCCTCATTAATGCCTATATTGGATACGTGGAAGGTGTTTAGTTAGTTGGCTGGCTTTGTGTACAGGTTCTAGCACCACAAGACTTGCAAAAAGTTTATTGCTTTTCTCTTGGTTCAACTCCATGGTTCTTCCACTCACACTCTGTAACTTGTCCAAACAAAATAAGAGAGAGAGTGAGTGAGAGACGGACTTGGTGCAAGAGTGAAGTTTTGATATCTTTGATGACAAAATTACAGCTTTATAGTTGTTGCTTATGGTATTGCTCTTTTACGCTGTACCACATCAAAAGAATAAGTAAATAAAGCAATACAACCTGCTATAGGGTGGCCTCTTTTTGCAGTACAACAATTGAGAATAATTCTTGTAGTGATGATAGGATATGGATCTTTTGCCGTTCTCCATACTTTGAGTATTGGCATGCATCTTCAGTTGTCTCTCTCTCTCTCTCTCACACACACACACACACACAAACAGAGACTCGTTCTTTGCTGCTTTGATTTTTGTGTATAAGTGCATAATTTGCTTTTATCTTTATATGCAGGAGGAAATTAGAAATCAAATATTAGCATTGGAGGGAGATCTGATTAATGAAAATGAGAAGTTCACCTCTGCACTTGTTCGTGTTGAGAAATATACCGAAGCACAACGAGAGATAGACAGAAAACTTGACATGCAGTATCAACGAAGAATGTAAGATCCAGTGTTCTAGTTCTACCCTATTGTTTTGTTTATTTTATTCATTGTGATATATGCAAATGACTATGAATATTGTCTGTTTGTTATGTTGTATACTATTTTGAAGTGATCTAGGTCAAGACGACAATGACCTATGGATTTGAATTATGAGTGTTGCCAATGCCATATTGTTAAACGTGCTTGTATAAAACTATTTTACTTTTTCTTTCCCTCCTGCATAAAGGAACAGGTAGAGAGATCAAGGTCCACCATTCAAGATGAATAGTGAATCTCTTGATCAACAACAAAATAATTTACTGTCAACAAAATACCTCCTTAGGCTTGGAACTGAGGTTAACATTTCAACTTGGGGAATGATAAAATAAGGACAGTAATAAATATTATGGTTTGGTAATTTTTACAGATAACAACAATGTACTTTCCTGAAAGAGATGTAAATCTATGCATAATATCTTGTAAAATTTCTAGCTGATTGTCAAAAGTCTGAAAAATGTGTTGACTGAGATATTTTATGTTTTGATAAACAAAGTTATTTTTCTCTAGCCAGTGCGAAAAATGGGAAGGCTAAATCCTAGTCATATTTGATTTACAAGTTGGTATGGTGTTGCTGGAATTGTGGAATATCTTATTGACATTTTATGTGAATTACTGTAGTGCAGAAGCGCTTGATAATCACTTGACTGCTGTCCAGAGGGACCATGAATACAGATCCCAAATCGAAGAAAGGAAAATAAGAGATGATGCAGCTCTGGAAGAGGCTAAAAAAAAGGAAAAGACTCTTCAAGAAGAAAAGTTGCGCCAAGAAAAAATTAACGCAGAAGCAGAGGTTAGTTTACTTGGGTTCGTAGTTTTTTGGTTTTTTTTGTTTATGGAAAATAAGAGATGATGGCCAGTTTCCATGGTGTTTGATTTTGTTTTTTCGATCTCATGTTGATTGTATTTTGCCACCATCTCAACGTCTGCATTTCCTTTTACCTTTTTGATGGTTTCATTTAGACAATGTGTCACGTCCCGATTTTTTTTTCTTCTAAAAAAAAATAAATAAATACCCGGGCATGATTAAAGAATAAAATCACACCGAACTTATGATAACCTTCCTTATATTATTATATTCCGCGTACGAGTACATAATCCTTTACAAGATCATTTTAAATATTCTTGATACAACATAAAGAGAAATAATAATACCAGACTCTCTTCATCATCCTTTCAGCCTATCCTTCAGGCCGACTTCATATATCTGAAAAATGTTAGATAGGGATGAGTTCACCAGGTCAGTAGGATAATGCTTATCAATGACTACTAAGGTTTTAAAGCAATGCATAATATAGCTAAACCACAAATAAATGCAGGAATATGGCAAAGTAATGAATCAAATAAATGAATAAATTTCAGCACATATCGATCATATCAATCCGTCAATTTTCTAGTCCACGCATGAATCGTTTTCAGAGAAAACTTTGGGGTCTTGCACCCTAAGAAACCCAATACCATTCTTGCTTTTCTAGAAACACTAATACCGAAAATTATGTGGTGTCATACAGGCTACCACAACAACCGATATTATTAACCGGTGAACCCAAGGACCAGTAGGGATCCTGTGAATCCTCGCAAGGATCACACATCTATTAACCCTCTGCCCTCGATTATGTACATTCATAGTAATTTTATTAAAATCACAAAATAAAGTCATATCGTAGTCAAACCCCACAACAAATCAAACATTAAATATTAATAATGAAATAAACATTTATTATGGTACATGGTTTCATAAGATAATTAGGGTCTCGATATAAATAAAAATACAATATGTGCATGATAACGATTTATTTATTAAACCCCAGTTTGATCCCATGATTATAACGATATAATATTATATTATATAATTAAAAATAGATTTGATATAAAATCCTCAAATATGCATAAAATGCATCAATGATAGTAAAAGATAAAAAAAATCCTACCTCTACCTTGACTTCTAATCGACACCATGTACTGTGACAAAACAATTAAAATAATATTTTAAAATAATAATAGGTAATAAGAGTTTAGTTAAACTAAAATAATTTTTGGAATAACTATTAAAAAATAATGATACTTAAATTTGATCCAAAAATATTTAATGAGGATCAACTTTAAGAGACTTGAACCTATAAAGTTTACTAAATAATAACTAAAAAATCTTACCGAAGATTTTGATAGCAACCGCGAACTCTTAGGTCAACAAAATTTTGACCCCTTTTCTCTCTTTATCCCTTCCTTTAAATTTTGACCCCTTTTCCTCTTTCTCCCTTCCTTTCTTCCTCCTTTCTGTTGTTTTTTTCTTGCTGTGCCGTTCCATGTACTGGGCTTGGCTATTTATAGCCAAGGCTTGCTTGGGGACCAAGCATCTTATGGACACTTGTCCATTGCTTCACCATTTTTTTTTAATGCACCTTTTTACTGTTCATGTCCTCTAATATTTATAATATATATATATATATATATATATATTCATTCATTATGTACATAGATATATTTATTCGTTATGAAACTTGACGTAATTTATAGTCATTTGACTCGTTTTTATGTGAAGAGTTTATATTTGGGGTCTATTTGTTCATAAAAAATATTATTATATATTTATATATATATATATATTTAAAATAAATAAATCTCAATTATATAAAAGTCAAAATTGATGACTTAATTAATGTGTTAATGATTTATGTATATATGAGTCATCACAATCTATCTCCCTTAAAAAGAATTTCATCCCCGAAATTCGATACTAACCTTGAGAATTAAAAGATACGGATATTTTTTACACGTATCTGTTTTCAGTTCCCACGTGGCTCCTTCAACACCATGATGTTGCCATAGCACTTTTACAAGTGGTATGACCTTGTTACGTAATACTTCTTTGGTGTCGAGAATCTACATAGGTTGCTCTTCGTACGTTTCATTTTCTTAAATTTGGACATCCTTCCAATCGATGACGTGAGATGCATCTGGTTCACATTTTCTTAACAGAGATACATGAAACACATCATGTATTCCTAATAACTGAGTTGACAAGGCAAGCTAATAAGCTACATTTCCAACGCGTTGTGTTACCTCAAAGGGTCCAATGTATCTGGGAGCTAATTTACCATTTTTTTTTTCAAATTTAGATATTCCTTTCCTAGGGGATACCTTCAAGAATACATAATCACCCACTTAAAATTCTAAGGGTCTTCTCCTTTGATCTGCATAGCTCTTTTGTTGACTTTGAGCCGTGCGTAACCGATCCCGAACTACTTGGATTTTCTCAGTGGTTTCTTGGACAATTTTTGGACCAAATAAAATGCTTTCACCAGCTTCGGCCCAACATAGAGGTGATCTACAAGGTCGTCCGTACAGAGTGTCATACAGAGCCATGCCAATACTGTTTTGATAGTTGTTGTTGTAAACAAATTCCAACAGTAGAAGATGTTCATTCCAACTGCCCTTGAAATCAAGAGCACAAGTTCGTAACATATCTTTCAATATTTGAATCACCTTTTCAGATTGGCCATCTGTTTGAGGATGGTAAGCAGTACTGAAATACAACTTGGTTCCCATGACTTTTTGTAAACTCTGCCAAAATTGAGCTACAAAGTGAGTATCTCGATTTGACACGATTGATATGGTACCCGATGTAATCTCACAATCTCCCGTATATAAAGTTGACTCAACGTAGCTAGAGTGTCAATATTCTTCATGGCTAAGAAATGGGCTGATTTGGTGAGTCGATCCACTATATAACCCATATTGCATTGTTTCCATTTGTAGTTCTAGGCAAGTCAATCACGAAATTCATAGTGATATGACCCCATTTCCATTCTGGAATAGGTAAGGATTGTAACAACCCACCAGGTTTTCGATGCTCTATTTTTATTTGTTGGCATATGGCACATCGAGCTGTAAATTTAGCGACGTCATTCTTCATTCCTTTCCACCAATATTGACGCTTCATATCTTGATACATTTTTGTGCTGTCAGGATGTATGAAAAACTCAGAGCAATGGAATTTTCTGAGTATTTCTTCCTTCAACTGAGCATTATCGGGTATACAAGCCTTCTTTGATATAGTAACAAGAGCATTCCCACCTTCCAGTTGGGTGCGGATGGATTCTAGGTAGGAATCCGAACGTTATAATTCAACAACTTTTTGTCGGAGGACAAGTTGAGCAATGAGATTAAACAAAAATGGTTAACCTTCTTCTGTACCTATCCAGATGTCAAAGTCTTCTAGTACCTCCCTCAATCGTCATTTGTCCTTCATCACATTCATTACTACACTTTGGGATTTTCTGCTCAATGCATTACCTACTACGTTAGCTTTTCCCATATGATATTGAAGTGTGAAGTCGTAATCCTCGAGATACTCTATCTAGCGTCGTCGTCAAAATTTCAAGCCTTTTTGAGTGAATATATACTTAAGACTTTTGTGATCTGAGAAAATCTAAAATTTTTTCCCATATAGATAAAAACGCCATAACTTCAGAGCAAAGACAACGACTGCGAGTTCCAAATCGTGGGTGGAATAGTTTTGTTCATGAGCTTTTAATTGTCTTAATGCATAAGCAACTACCTTGTTATTTTGCATCAATACACATCCAAGTCCTTGTAGTGATGCGTCTGTGTAAATATCTTACCCGATACCACTTTCGGGTATAGTAAGGACGGGTGTCGTGGTCAACTTCTCTTTTAAGATGTTAAATGTCTGTTCACATTATTTGGTCTACTCAAACTTTTCTCCTTTCCGGGTGAGTCGAGTCATGAGTTGAGCTATTATGGAAAATCCTTCCACAAATCTTCAATAGTATCCTGTCAATCCCAGAAAATTTTGAACTTCTGTTGCGTTCTTCGGTCGATCCCAATTCATTACTGCTTCAACTTTAGCTGGATCCACTATCACTCCTCCTTCGGATACTACATGCCCAAGAAATTTGACTTCTGTTATCCAGAACTCACACTTACTTTTCTTAGCATACAACTTATGCTCTCTAAGTGTTAATAACACTTGACAAAGATGTTGTACATGCTCCTCACGTGACTTTGAGTAAATGAGAATATCGTCAATAAAGATAATTACAAACTGATCAAGATAAGGCTTGAATACCCGGTGCATCATGTCCATGAAAGCTGCAGGTGCATTTATAAGTCTAAAGGGCATCACTAAGAACTCAAAATGTCTATATTGAGTACGAAAAGATGTTTTGGGGATATCCTCCTCTCTGATTCTCAATTGATAATATCTCGTTCGAAGATCAATTCTAGAATAGTAACGAGAACCCTTGAGTTGATCAAATAGGTCATTAATACATGGTAGAGGATATTTGTTCTTTATTGTGACCCGATTCAGCTTTCGATAGTCAATACAGAGTCTCAGCGTATTATCCTTTTTTTTCACAAAGAGTACAGGAGCACCCTAAGGTGACTTACTTGGTCGAATGAATCCTATAAAAAGAAGTTCATTCAACTATTTTCTTAACTCCTTCAACTTAATGGTACCGTTCGGTAAGGAGCAATAGATATTGGCTTCGTACCACGATATATCTCAATGGTAAATTCTATCTCCCTTTGTGGGGGTAGTCTTGGTAATTCTTCAGGAAATACATCAGAAAAGTCATACACTACCAAGATGACATCAGCGGTGATTTTTTCTAGTTCTTCCCCAGTTAAGCTGGCAAGGAATTCCAAACTACTTTTGTTCTTTATAGAGAACAGATGAGAATAGTGACGTTTGCCTATGAATTCCAATTTTCCATCTCCCAATGTACGGAATTTGATTTTCTTACTGTAGCAATCCATGATGGCATGATAGCAAGATAGTAGGTCCATTCCGAAAATTATGTCGTATCCGACTATTTCTAAGGCAACTAGGTCTACAACCAACTCGCTTTCCTCAATTCGGATTATGCAATTTCTACGTACCCTAGCTGTTTTTAAGAAATCTCTCGTAGGTAGGTTTATACACAACCTGCGACCCAAAGGTTTGAATTCTAACCCTAAGGCAACAACATATGAAGTACGAATGAAAGAATGGGTTGCCTCCGAATCAAATAAGATACGTGCCCAAGAATTATAAATAAGAACGATACCTTCAATTACTTCATTAGTAGCGTCGTTATCCGGTATAGCATTGCGTAGATTTGAGGTTGATAGATCTGAGGTTGACCTTTGGGAATTATTGTTTTACTTCTTGGCTTTTTCTGCTGTGTTTGATTTGGAAACGACTACGAAGGTCCAACTTGGGTTGTCGGTCCTGTCGTCTGAGTAGGGTAAGGACGTTGTTGTGAACAAGGTTGATTGAATGGCTGATAAGAACCTTGATTGGCCGTCCCTTGAGAGGACGTGAAGGGACACTGAATTTTAGAATGTCCAGTTTGGCCACACTTAATACACCATTTTGTATCCTGGATGCTTTGTTTCAATTTCTAGAATTTTGTCCCTGATTTGCACTTCTCCTTTCATTGGTATCTTGCCCTGGTCGTCGATATTGGGTCATTCTTTGGTGACTTCTACTGTCACCATTTCTTGTCTGACTTCCTTTGTCTTGTTGACAACTTTTGATATTCTAGGTATCCTTCATATCTTTTTCTACCAGCATAGCCCTTTCCACCAGTTTCTAATAGTTCCTCAGTCGGTGTGTTACAAGGCGCCATCGGATAGAAGACTTAAGGCCTTGTTCAAATCGTTTGGCCTTCTTAGCATCAGTGAAAACTAATTCCGTGACAAAGCGAGAGAGTTCAGCAAATTTAGACTCATTACGTGATTGTCAGGTTACGTTGTTGCAACTCCAGGAAGTCAGAGAACATTTTTAGCCCTTATGAACTCAGGAAAATATTTATCATTAAACACTCTTTCGAAGGTGGTCCACGTTATTTGGTTCACATCACTCACTCTTTTGACTGTATCCCACCAGTGATCAGCTTCACCTTCAAAAAGATAAGAGACCAAGGTAACTCACAATTTTGGGACAATATCCATACCATCCATTATCTTTTTCACTTGTTGAAGCCACCTTTTTGCATCAAGTGACTCTGTACTTCCTTGGAAGGTAGGAGGATGTTGTCATAGAAATTCCTTGAGTATTATCATTCTTCGTGTTTCAGCCACATTTGCTTGTTCTTGAACTGTTGGTTGTATTACCGTAGTATGATTATTATTTTCTGCCTGTTGGCAGACACTAGTAAATACCACTTATAGTGTCTTGCGGTGTTGGAGAGGACTGGTCATTGATGGACATCTCTGGTTGGTCTTGAGATGTTTCCCTCCATCTTATAACACATAGTTCATGATCTTATGACTGCATTAAAAACTACAACTATATCAAAAAGTTAAGAAAACAACTCTAATTTTACATAATTAGCAACTAAGATACATTTCGTTTCTTATCCTAGATGCTATTCACATGGAGAACAAAAGTCCAGTACAATCACCTTTAAGTTATGTAGTGATACATATATTCCTTCCATTCTAAGAGTTACAACTATTTATAGGTAAAATTTCTTAGAATAGTAAAGCCGACTGTACAGTTAGGGACCGAGAAGTTTCATGTCCTTCCCCCTGGAGATATATCAGTTTGCAGAACCTGCAGAATCTGCACGATGGTTTGCTTCAAGTGGTGCGGCTACAGGGGCTACGTTGGGGTCGTGAGGTTGTGGGTCATATTCTTCATTATTGTCTAGGTTAGGGGATTCTATTGGCTGCCTCTCATGAGCCTCCGCAGGTGGCCACTGAATGTCTTGTACTGGCAATCCATTCAGAATTTCTTGGTACTGGTTGGGATTCTTTTCAATACTTAGTGCTAGGCGGAGCACCCTTAGCTGCGACGTCAGTCTGTGATGTACTAATTTTTTTTGTTCAAAGATTGGCATGAATGACCAATTTTGGGACACATCTTGAATTTCGCAGACTATCAAATTGTAGGCCTATACATTAACTCTAAGAGGTCGGTATTCACTAGCCGCATCGGAGCCCATGTTAGTGTGAGTCATGTAAAGATCCCAAGATGCCATACCTATAGTTATAAACAGTTAATTATGTTGATAAAAAAAATAATATGTTCAGTATTAGTAAATTAATCCCACTATTTAGTCTATATATATAATTCCCATGTAAGATCTAATTCTAGGCTTTGATACCACTTTGTTACGCTCCGATTTTTTTTTCTTCTAAAAAAAAAAATAAATACCCGGGCGTGATTAAGAAATAAAATCACACCGAACTTACGATAACCTTCTTTATATTATTATATTCCGCGTACGAGTACATAATTCTTTACAATATCATTTTAAATATTCTTGATACAATATAAAGAGAAATAATAATAGTAGACTCTATTCATCATCCTTTCAGCCTATCCTCTAGTCCGACTTCATATATTTGAAAAATGTTAGATAGAGATGAGCTCACCAGCTCAGTAGAATAACGTTTATCAATGACTACTAAGGTTTTAAAACAATGCATAATATAGTTAAACCACAAATAAATGCAGGAATATGACAAAGTAATGAATCAAATAAATGAATAAATTGTAGCATATATCGATCATATCAATCTGTCAATTTTCTAGTACACACATGAACCGCCTTCGGAGAAAACTTTGGGGTCTTGCACCCTAAGAAACCTAATGCCCTTCTTGTTTTCCTGGAAACACCAATACTGAAAATTATGTGGTGCCATACAGGCTACCACGACAACCGATATTACTAACCGGTGAATCCAAGGACGAGTAAAAATCCTGTGAATCCTCGCAAGGATCATGCATCTTCTAACCCTCTGCCCTCAATTATGTACATTCATAGTAATTTCATCAAAATCACAAAATAAAGTCATATCGTAGTCAGACCCCACAACAAATCAAACATTAAATATTAATAATGAAATAAACATTTATTATACAACATGGCTTCATAAGATAATTAGAGTCTTGATATAAATAAAAATACAATATGTGCATGATAACGATTTATTTATAAAACCCCAGTTTGATCCTATGACTATAACGATATAATATTACATTATATAATTAAAAATAGATTTGATATGAAACCCCCAAATATGCATAAAATGCATCAATGATAATAAAAGATAAAAGAAACCCTATCTTTGTTTTTACTTTTACTCGATACCATGTACTGTAACAAAACAACAAAAATAATATTTTAGAATAATAATAGGTAATAAGAGCTTAGTTAAACTAAAATTATTTTTGGAATAACTAATGAAAAATAATGATACTTAAATTTGATCCAAAAATATTTAATGAGGATCAACTTTAAGAGACTTGAACCTATAAAGTTTACTAAATAATAACTAAAAAATCTTATCCAAGATTTTGATCGCAACCGCGAACTCTTAGGTCAACAAAATTTTAACCTCTTTTCCCACTTTCTCCCTTCCTTTCTTCCTCCCTTTCTCTTTTTTTCCTTGCTGTGCCGTTCCATGTACTGGGCTTGGCTATTTATAGCCAAGGCTTGCTTGGGGACCAACCATCTTATGGACACTTGTCCATTGCTTCACCATTTTTTTTAATGCACGTTTTTACTATTCATGGCCTCTAATATTTATAATATATATATCTATTCATTCATTATGTATATATATATATCTATTCGACCCGTTTACATGTGAAGAGTCTATATTTGGAGTCCATTTGTTCATAAAAAATATTATTATTATATTATATATATATATATATATATATATATATATTTAAAAAAATAAATCTCAATTATATAAAAGTCAAAATTGATGACCTTATTAATGTGTTAATGATTTATGTATATATGGGTCATCACACAATGCTTCATATTTACATTTTTTTTAGAATTTAAGGTGCTCATTTAGGCCATTTTTCATTTAGAAAATGCTTCTTTGAGCTTTTTGTTTCATCTTCTTTCCTAAAGATGATTTTTTTTTCTTATTTGTTTTGATAATCAATAACAACTATATCCTTTTAAGCTTTTATGGCACCATTTTTCTACTTTTTTGGGTTCTCTGTTGTCGGTATAAATTCCAGGAATTCTATTTTTTTGTGGATTTCAGCAAGTTGGCAGTCGCATCTTCAAATGAAGAAGAGGGGGGGGGGGAGTATGGTGTTGGTTTAGTTGTCCCGTATTCACCTAGGAATGAAATAAGAAGAAGAAACAGAATAAGGCAAATGAAATGCATATGAGGTCAGTGTTGTTTAATTGTATGTTCCATGCATCTTCTACTGGCATTCAAAAAAAAATGGCAGCCGAGTTACAATAAATTAAAGACTCTGTACGAAGGTGCTTAAAATCCACTCAATTTTCGAACTACATCAATAGGACCATTTAACATTGAAACAAGAGCTGGTTTAACATGGAAATGGGGAATGGGAAGTTAAGTCTCTTGATATCATACCATAATGCGAGAAACAAATATATGTTCATACCATGGACAAGGTTTAGTTACTTCTCCTTGGCTTTGTTTTGGAAATGCTCTTGCTGTGTGTTCAGTTTTCTATATTTCTCCCTTAAATTATTTAATTCCTGAGTTGTGACGATTTTCATTTGATATATCCTTATTTAATTTGCTCTTATTGATGCCTTCAGTTGGCGACTTTGTTCCAGTTCTTGCATGTATGCTTCACCAGAAATTCATGGCAAAATTATGGAAATCTGATGGCATCTGCTTACCTTCAAGTTTTTTCTTTTCAGATGCAGGCTAGAATTGATGCAGAAAGGAAGAGAGTTGAAGAAGCAAAAGTGGCATCTTTGGAAGCTAAAAGGAGAGCACAAAAAGAAGAAGCAGAAAGGGTTGCTTCTGAAAATTCAAGAAAGGTAGCTGCTGCTACAGTGGCTTCAAAGGTTGCTGTAGAGCAATCCAAGGGATCTGGATCTGATGGACTGAAGACTACACAATCAACAGGTATTTGTATTGCCATATTGTGAAGCAGCATCTTTGTTCTCTTTTTTCTCGTCCATTTTCTCTTCATTTTGATAAGGTCACTGCTCTATTAGTGCATGGCTATTTGCAATTGGATTCAGAATATTTTGGAGATATTATATGAGTACTTTACAAAACCACGTGGTATTTTCTCTTTGAATGGTCTAACCAGGTCATCGCTGTTTATTTTATGCTTCCTGACTGTGTTAATTTATAGGGTAATGCCTGCTGTCAATTTTAAGGATGTGTTAATCATGTTAGGTTTCTGCCAAATGCTTACTCAATTTTAAGGATGTGTTAATTATGTTATGTTTCTGCCCAATGCTTACCCTTTTTGGCCTTCTTCTTGTCCCATAAATTCAAGTAAAATGGCTCGAGTATCACAAAATGCCATGTAGGCGAATGACTTATTGTTATATCACTCACGAATGCGATTTTTCATTTATAATTGTTGCCCTTGTGGAATTGCTGTATTGTTATTGCTAGTCGGATAGATTTGACAGCTCTAACAAGTTGTGATTAATTTTTTATTTCTTGTGTCATTTAAGAACATGAAATTGCAATTGCTCTATCTCGTATCAGGAAGTATACTCAAGGTGACAGAAGGTGCTGTAAAATTGGAGGAGAGAAGATTACAGATTTATAAGGAACTAGCTGCAGAAAATGCGGCACTGGGATTGAGTTCTAATAAGGTTGGTGGCAGCACCGACGATGTCAGGCTTTGAAGCTTTATATTGTTTAGATTGCTCTTCTTTTATGACACATATTTTGAATGTTTAGCTTTATTTCAGGCATCCTTTTGGAACTTCTATATGACATTGGTTGCTGAAGTTCATTACTCTTCCAAATATTCTTAGTTTTCTATTTGTGATTTTCCTTTTTTATTCTGTTTTGTCTCTATCCGAAAAGAACACCATATAAGTTTGAATAGTACTAAACTGGTTGTTTAGTTACAAGTGGATGGTTGCTATTTTTCTTGTTGTGGATTAATATATTCTTGCAACATAGTTGTAGTCTAGCTAAATGAGGTGATACAATTCAATCAAAAAACAAAAAACCGTGCTCAATGCACATGGCTCTCATCAGACACTTCTAATAAGCGAGACTTGTGCACTAGCTAATACCTTTTTTATTAAATTTTAATATTTCCAGATGTTATATTATTTCCCGGACAGTGAATGACGAGATGTCTTTTCTGGACAGGAATTTCACAGCCATGGAATGCAAATAGCTAGAAGGATCAAAACGATAAGCGGGACAAAGGAAAATGTTAGGTGAGATGACTGCCTTCATTTAGTTTGTAGATGCCTCCACAGCTTTGGTTATTGGACTTCTGTGTCAAACCACCCTGGAGACCTGGACTTCCTTTCTTCATTTAGGTTATAGGCCTATCAAATGGCATATCCAAAGTATTTTTGCTTCTGAAATTTTAAAATTGGTTGAATGCGGTTGACATAGAGTATTTACTTATTTTTGCTTATTGATTCTCTTCTACAGTTCAAAAGCGCATGATTTGATTAAGCTCTGCCTCAATTCACCTATTCCCCAATCCATCAGTGTTGCATTGTTTGCAGAGAAGGTAGTTTCCCTTGTTTAGTTAAGAAAAAAATGTACTTTTTCCATTCATTTTCCTGTTTGCTTGATTTGGTTTTTCCTTCTGTGTGTGTGTGTGTGTATTACTGTCTGTTAACAAAACTAAGCTGTTAGTGCATCTTTTGTACATTTTGAAATTCTCCCACTGGAATTTCAAGTCGACAAATCAATGCTCTGACAGTGTTTTTGGTTTTGTTATTGCAGGTTGTCTCCTTTTGTGTAAACCCTTCTGGAAGCTTCAGTAATGCTGCTTTTGCCTATGCTCGTGTCATTGTTCTGGTTACGTCACAGGTGAAGCATGACTTGTTCTTTGCTTTTGCACTTTTCTACTTATACATGGTTGGGTAATATATAAGGAAAATCACAATCAAGAAGTAAATAAATGGAAACTCAGCATCCATAGATATATTATTGATAAGGGCCGTAGGCCTGAACCTATTCTTAGGCGCATCTCTGTTTATGGAATATATGATGCTTGATACTAGGCGGGCTTGGTTGAACAGAAGCCAAAGTTCCAATTCTGTGATAATATTTTGCAAACCCAACCAAAACTACATAACTGCCTGGGTGCCCAATACAAGTTCTAATTCAGATTTTTTTTTTTTTTTTGGGGAAGGGGGCTAATTCAGAATATGCTCCACTCAACTTGCAGGAGTTTGATTAGCAGTCAGTTTATATATGGCTCTGTTAAGAGGCTTTAGGAGAATTCTTTCCATTTTGAATTCTGATGTCATTTACATAGTACGAATGTGCTTGGTAAAGAATAACCCTTTTTTTCTTTTCTTCCCCCACTTGAACTACTTTTTTCAGTTAATATAACATGTTTCATTATTTATGGCTATATATGTGCTTTTGTTCATGAGGATATTTCCTTTGAAACATTATGTGAGCCCATCATCTCAAGAGTAGATAAGGCCACTGTTTGTTAAGATATTAAGTTTCTTACCTACGTAATGTCTTCTGAACCTAGGTCCCTCTTGCCATGGATATTCTTCTTGCGGAGTTGAATAAAGCCTGCATCTACACTGTCCCAAAGTATATAAGTTACTCGGAGGTAATGATTCTCTACTCATTATCCCACTGGCTGTGTAGCTTTGTAAGATCTGTTATCATCCTTGTGTTTATTAGATATATTTCTGCTGACAATGTTGCTGTACCAAGAAGGTATTATAACTATCACTCATTATTTCAATTATTTTTGTTACTATTGTTTCTGCTGCCAGTAATTTTGTTAGTAACATTGTTGCTGATATTCTGCTTTGGTGTCACCCGAAATTTAAAACTGCCCTTGCAACTACAGTCAGCATTTGAAACAAAAGAAGCTTACTACAAAGCCATTGGATATCAAGAAGAAGATGGAAAACTGGAGAGCACTGATAGTTATGTAGAACGGCTGAGCTCACACATGAAACTGTATGGTGCTCTAGTTCAGGTATAGTGGGAACTTAAATTCCATCACAAACCATCCAACTTGAAGTTGTGTGTGTGTGTGTATTTATGCTGGTATGGCACGCAATTATTGTGACAGTTCCTCCGTCTCTTCTAAACCCTCGGGACATATCTGATACAAACACAATGCATGTTTTGCAGACTGAATTTGAGGGTGTTCAAAACCAGCATGGCCTTAAAGAAGGTTGGGCATGGTGTGCCAGATTCTTAAATGCTCTCCCAGCAAATCTATATACTGCAGTTGCTCTGCACTCATTCCTCGAAGTAAGTTAATACTCAAGTTGTCTTTATTTCTTTCGTGAACTCTTGCCTAATATATGCCTATTAACATGGAATAAATGTCTTGCTGCTCAGATGGCAGGGTTTACCCTTTACAGAAGATATAAAATTCAGTTCAAGAAGTTACTGGATATCATTTCTCGTGACTTTCTAAGTGCTCTGAGAGAACGAGGAGATCCAAAGCTGAACAAGAGCATCATAAATATTGAATCTTACATAGAGTCCAATCAATTCCTTAAAGAACCGGAAGGATGGCGCCTGCGGAGTTCTTTGCTGTCCCATACTTTTGTTCCTGAATGATAGCACACGATTGAAAGGGTTTGGGTTTTCCTACTAACTGTTGCCAGCTGATGTTGTAACTCCACTCACAGTAAAAGAATGAATTCATGATAAATAATGGTGGTTGCCAGACTTTATTATGTTCTTGACTCTAGTTTATAATCAAAAGAAATGCATATGATTAACTTACACTTGATGTTCCTCCTCTCCAGTGTATGCTACTCATGTTCTAGTTACACCCACAGCTATTGTCGTTTTGCTAATAGAGCTACAAACACGCATCAATAGTGCGTCATTAAAAGACAGCATTCTTTCTTTAAGTGATTGAATTGACAAAATAAATGAAATTTTCAGCCTAAAAGAAACAATCTACAAACACACAATTCGTCGGGAAGCAGGAATAAAATACAGCATCCTTATTAAAATCCCCAACATAAAACACTGAGTGAAAAGAACATATCTCCGACAATTTGTCACTCCTGAAAAAATTGTGCACTCTGATTTACAAGATGAATATTTACAATCTTCAAAAAAAATTAATCCTTAAACAAGCAGCTTTTATAAAAGCATAAAAGCATCGGATTCAGACATGGCAGCACTCCTCCAGATCTGTGGTCCATAGATGTCACGTACGTTAATGCCTGTTGAAGCAGGAACTCCACCAGAATCAAACCAGCCTAAGATTAACGATTTCCAGGGAATGGGTGATTGTGATGATTTTGTGATTTCCGCGGCTGAAAGGCACATCAATCAAGGCACTATTTTAACCCTGTCCATCCAGAACAGCTTAATTGAGATCATCCTTCTATAAGTGATGGTGATGATGACAAGATATAAAGAAGCAGAAGATAAAGAATGAAAAAACACTTTTCAATGGCTTAACCTTGTCTTCCCTCTACATCATGGCATCTGGTACAGCACAGGGGCAAGAAGACAGCTAAAATCGAGAGAAGCAAGAAATTGCTGAGATGCATGTAGAGAAGCCTATGAATAGAGTTTAATTCTGGTTTTGATTGCACTCCGGCAAATTGGACATGAATCAAGGTCTACTCCGCAGTCACAACAAGTCTGCCCATGAAGGAAAAAGTTAAAACTAAGTCTCCAACATCAAAATATTCCTTCACTTATGACCTATAGGTCCATAAAAATTGAAAAGAAGTCATTATTTACCTGATGGCCACAGCCGAAAGCCATGTCCTTTGGATTACCAAGACAAACGGGGCAAACCTGTCCGGAATTACCCAAAACAAAACAAATTGTTATAGCTACCAGAAATTTAAATGATAATCTTGGAGAGAGGTCCATAATCATAGCAACAGCAATTGTAGTAAATGTGTGCTTCAGTTTATAATAAGTGACCATTAGAGAGAGCTACTAAGACTGCAAACATGACCCAAGAGGAAGTACTAATGGAAAATATCCAATAGATTGCAATTTGTCTCACCTTGTTATCATAAAGAGAACTTGAAGATGGAGCAGTTCGGACTGCAGTGTCATAACCAGTATAAGGAGATGTACTCTGGTGGAAACTGCCTGTACGATAAGGTTTTGAGCTACCATTGGAAGAATTTGTGCCGTACATAGGCGGTGGAAGAGGGACCATGTCTGGAGCATTACCCATCCGACGACTGCTTGAGAAATAACATAAAGATACATATAAGTTATTCTAAAGCTGAAAATTTAAACTAAACTAACACATAGTACACAAATGCATAAGAGGGAAAAGGGTCGAGCTTTACCCCAGTAAATTGAGCTCAATAGTCGCTTTATATTGAGATGGTATTTCCATCAAGGAAGCAAGAGCAAATTCTGTCTGTTTTCTCAATGGATCCGCATTCCTCGACATAATTTCAGTAAAATTCACAAACTAGCAAGACAGACAAGCCTTTCTGAATTAGGCAATTTCAAACAAAGACATTTAAACATGATACAATCTCATATCTTATTATTCAAATCATCAAATGATAAAAGCCATTACTTACTTGAAAGTTATCAAAGGCTCGAGCAGGGATGTTATCATCAAACTCCCTCATCATGTCCCAAGGACCATCTCCAACCCCAACCAAAATAATGGACAAGGGGAGCTCACTGCAATTAACAGGCATGTGAGAATGTGGATTGGCAACCAAATGGTCAAGTTTATAAAAAGATTCACCTTGCTTTCACAATAGCATCAATAGTCTTTTGCTCTTGTGGACTGAGCTGACCATGCTTCATGTCAACACTTCTCGTCACCTAAAGGAACAGAGAATTTAAATCAGATCTCAATTTTTATTTTTTAGAATTTTGAACTTCAGTTGAAATTGAACCCTCCAGTGAGTCATCATGCCATGTATAAGTGATTCATAGCATTTCATAGTAGAAGTTTTCATGTAAGTGATCAAAGCTCATTGATTGCATCATTAGATACTAATTCTGAAGAATGCATCATCAACCATAGTAGAACCTTAGTATGAGATTCAGAACAAGATTTTTATGCATACCTAAATCATGTTGCCTCCTCGTCTCTACTTAAACAAGACAAAAAAACACGAAATCAAACAAGAATCTCGAGAACAAAATATTGTCCTCGAAGATAACCACCTTACTGTCAGTAAGGCCATAAAGGATTTGAAGGACGACTTTTCTGTTTTGGGTGTGATAGTTGCTGAAATAAAGCAAGTCCTGGCTAGACTACAGCTGCAGCTGTTCGGCATATTACAGAGTTTCTCATTTTAGATTTTTTTAGGGTAATGTTTCATTAGGGGATGAGGCTCCACATTTCCCTATGCCTCACCCCCCCCCCCCTCCTTTCCTTTTGATAGTCCTGGTAAATAAGTGTTCATCATTTCTTGATCAAAAAAAAAAAAAGCGAGTTGTGCACAAGACAAAGGGTCAAATCTACCAAAAGATAAAATTTGGATAAAAGTGAATCACCTGACCATCAGCAATTATCAACAAAACATGATACTGGCCACCACTTTCCTCAACAATAGTCATTGCCATTTCAATAATTGGGGCAAACGATGTGGGTCCTGCCATAATCAAATAGGAATCCATAAGCTGAATGATCTGAAAAGTCTATTTATCTGGGATGACTAATGGGATGCATAGAAGGGGCACCTGCAAGTCGAAGTTGGGGAACTATTTCTCTGTACCGTCCCAATACGTCCTCAAACCCCTCACAAAACCTTGCATCTGGATAGAAACTGAAGACATCTTGGTCATGTGTTGAGGCTGCAAACATATATTGGTGAATCACATCTTCTTCAGACTAAAATAATGATTTAGGCTAAGCATCGGAAGAATGTTTCTTAACAATATATTACCATCTCCAAATCCAAAACAGGGAATCAAGTTATCCTCATCAAAAGCAGATAATGTTTTCCCAATGATGGATATTGCTTGTTCATATGGATTTTGATCATTTCCAAGGTGATGTAAGCTTCGCCTTCTGAATGATCTTGCACCTGATATTCAGCATTAAGAGATCAGCGTGCAGCATAATAGGTCAATAGCGAAGTTCTAAGTATCTGGAAATAGCTGAACCTGTCCACTCGTTGCTCTTGGTGAAATCAATGCCAACAATGAGATTAGAAGACTCTAGTCCAGCCTCTGCAAGGGCAGCAGTAACCTGAGAAAAAAGACACACTATGACAGGGGAACATTTATGATATCACTTATATATCTAGTGCTCTAAGTAACTCGATGTAAATAAAGGAAAAACTTAGAATAAGGAAGAAGAATAAAAAATTACAGCCTAGTTAAGCTCCTCATGAAGTGGTACATAAACCCTTCCACATGCAGCTGTCATGCTATATGCTTTTGCTAGTACTATAATAGTGAAGCTTGCAGAGAAACAGTCTTAATTATAGTATATATTTATGGTAGTCGAGGTTTGCTTGTGAAAGTTTTATGAGAAGAGGAGTATTTGTGAGAGGGGAACAATCCTTCCACACAAGCCTTTATACGCTTAGGTGAACAAAGTGTCTATTAATCAGTTAACTGACCCATAATTCAGTATTTCATGCTTCAGTTTAATGCTCAATTATGACTATGATGAAACAATATTTACCAAGAAATTTATATTGAGCTATGGTAAGAGTTCCCAAACAAGCATAATGACTTTAGTTGTTTTTAAGGCTTTTCAGCTTTCACACACCAAAAATTCCTATTAGCTATATATCTTTACGCCCCTTGATTCATCAAAATTTAATCAGAAAAAGGGGTTTTAGAAAAGAACGAAACACAATAAATATATCACAAAGGTTAACCTCTTCCAGAGTGCGGTAATTGTCAGCTATCCTCGAATATCTCCGATCCAATCTCCGTTGTGGCTGAGGGGTTTGAGACCCATAATGGTAAGGTGAAGGTGCATGGTGATGCCGAGGAGTGTATACTGGATTCTGTTCAGGGTATGGCGATTGTGGGTAGCCATGGTTATTAAACGAATATGAACTGGATGATGAAAATTGCCTCCGACTTGTACCTTTCGAACTTTTACCACCCATGATCTCTGCAATCCACTGAAATCGTAATCCAAAACTCACCCAACTTCACGCCAAAAACAAACAAATCAAAATTGAATTTCTAACTGCGACAATTAATCAAACACCACACGGACCCTAGTAAGAACTCCAATTCACCACCAAGTTTCAGAAATCTGCTTATATTTCTCGGTGCTAAAACGATCAGAGCAGTTTTATAATTATATAGAGACACAAATCACAATTAAAGGTGGGTTGAAGAAACTAAAGAGTAAATTCGTGTAGCTTAAAAAAAAAGTATAGTAATATAAAACGTTGACTTTAAAGAAGTTGGCGGCTGGAAGCCATCGACTCAAACCCAATGGCATTGGAGACCCACTATCTGAAAGATTAATTCAAAACCCTTTTTCTTCATTTACCATTATTTAAAGGTGTTCATACCTGCGAAATTTCTCATGAAGAAACTCCCAAGAAAATGTGTAAAAGAGTCACAGACAAGAAAGCGAAAGAGAGAGAATCAATTTAAAACACACTACATGAAATTTAATATAAACTTGGATTGGATGCTCACGCATACAAGGAACATCCATCATTTATGTAAGGTCAAGCTCAAGCACAACCATACAATACATTTTTTCTCAGTCAACTATATTCTCTGAAATTAAGCCGAAACTTCGTAGAGTGAAGCTTCTTTGGTCACCTTAAGCATAATGAGAATGTTATAATCAGATTGGGCAAATCTCATCGCATTAACCACGAGTAGGAATAGTTTGGTTTGAAAGGGCTGATCATCAATAATTGCATGGGCAAGAAAACTATTAAAAAAGGACCCTTGACCATGTTATCAAGTCTACCATGCCAACTTCTGAGAATTGTACTGCGAACTAGCAAAGAAATTGTCTTTGGCAAAAATTTCATTTGCACCCTTCTTAATTTTTTATATTTTTAATTTATCATATCTTTAAGGATACTCTATCTATTATCAAAAATATCATTGACACTTATTTTAATTTATATTTAAATATTATTGACACTCCCTGTCATTAAACCACCATTTATAATAAAAATAAATAATTTGAAATACCAAAATTATCCCTACATAAATTCTAAACAATCTTTTTATATAAAATTAAAATTTGAGTAGATTAAAATTTATTTTTCTACACATTAAAATTTGAATTGACTAAAATTCTTTTTTCTCCGTATTAAAATCTGATTCGAACTGATTAAATTTTATTATTTTACGTACTAAAATTCGAACCAATTTGATCTTGACTTGAGCAGTTAGTCCCGATTAAAATTCGCTTCGAATCAATTAAAAACTAAATTTGTTATTTATTAAAATTTGATTTAACTTGATTAAAATTTATTTTTTATGTATTAAAATTTGAGTCAATTAAAATTTATATTTTTTTATATATAAAAAATTGGACCGATTAAAATTTAATGCTAGTTGATTAAAATTTGATACGAGCCTCAAATAGAATTTTAATCGGTTCAAATTTTAAAGAATAAAAAAGATAATTTTTAATCGACTTAAATTTTAATATATAAAAAATAAATTTTAATGAGCTCGAATCAAATTTTAATCAGTCCAAATTTTAATATGTATAAAAATTTTAAAAATAGAAAGGGTATCATTAAAGATATGTCAATCTAGAAGAGGAGTGAATGAAATTTTTTCTAAAATATATTATGGACAATTTAATAAAATTGCATTTTAATTATCACATTTAATCTGACGGAGGGTGTCATTAAAGATTCGGAAAATAGCAGAGATGTCTTTGAAAATACAATAAATTAGAAGGGGTGTGACTGAAATTTTTCTTAATTTTTTTAGGGAAGATATACATAGATAGCTCCCAATGCACCTGTGTCGGGCTGAAATTAATATCTCAATCTAAGGTTGTTAAACGACAACAACAGCTCGAGCCTAGCCTCGACTTGGTACGTTTATTTTGTAAAACGAGTTAAATCTGCAAAAAAAAAAAAAAGGCTTGTTTTCTATGGCTAATGAGACTCTGATCCCTCCTCCTATTCTTGATTTTATGCTGTGTTGTGATGGTTCTTTTGATTCTCAATCGTCGAGAGCAACGTGTGGGGGTGGGGGTGTGTAAGAAGGATGGCACTCTTTTGGCTGGGCTGCTTCTTCTTTCCCTGCTGCATCTCCTCTGTCTGTTTGCTGAGGCTGAGGCAGTGCGCCAAGCCTGCCTCTTAGCTGAAGCTTTCTTGCTCTCTAATATCATGAATGATTGTCTCAACATTATTAAGTTAAGTTCTACCGAAAATGTTTTCCCTTGAAAATTTAATGTAATTATGGATAATGTTAGATTTTTAGTCAGGGTTCACAACCTTTCCTTCTTACATAAGTCTAGAGCCTGTAATCGGGCCGCTCATTTGGAGGCAGTTGCTAAATTAACCAGTTCACTCTCATTAGACTGGTTAGGCTCCCCCTCTCCCGAGCTTAGGACTTCTATTTTATCTAATTGTAATTTGAATTTTCTTACATAATTTACAGTAGCACTTCCTTGTTTTGATCAATAAAAAAAAAAAAACCAATTCTAACTCGAGCATGAGCCAAACCACTTGCGAGCCTAACCAAGCTAGCATTTTTATCTTAAAATATCTAAAGTTTTTCATGCCTATGGGTTAGACCTGTCTGTAATTTCTTTTAATTATTTATTTTTGTCAAAAAAAATCAAAACCACACTTATTAATAGCTTGGGTAACTTGTACACGAAGACATGATGAAAATTTAAGAGAAATATTGGTGGTCGTTAGATGAATCTATTTAATACCATTAGATGAACTTATTAAAATTTGTCATATTTTATATTAGAGATCTCTTATTCTACAAAACTATTAGGGTACCTTTTTAAACTATTACCCTTGTTTTACTTTGTAACTTCAACTAAAAATTTTTTACATCGCACCTTAAAATATCAATTTTTTTTCATATTATTTCAATTGATAACGATTACTAATTTTTTGAAGATAAATGTGTATGTGAGTAATTTGTACCGCCAATAAATAAATGCATGTTACACATGAAATCATGAAAAATATTTATCCATAATTTTACACTTCCTAAATTTCAAATTTTCTCTCTCTATTCGATCTTCTTTTTTTCTTAATAATCATTTGGTTACAAAAGAGGTGAAATAAAGTGGTACTAGACACTTGACGAGAAGCTCTTTGAGATTTTTCTCCTTTCTTTGACAAATTTTTGAGATTGTCGTTATTTATTGGAATAATATGAACAAAAATTATTACTTTAAGATATAATTTAAAAAATTTTATAGTTAAGAGTATGTAATAAAATAAGGATATATAATTTACTAAAACTATCAAAACCACACTTGCCTAATCTCTCACACTCAAAACTTATCAGACTTGAGCAAACCAAATCCTTATGAGAGCACCTTAGTCACCTTTGAGTAAAAAAATGAGCCTTTCTTTATTTGGGTCAAGGTTAAAGATAGTCTTACATTTGAAACTCTAGATCCACCATCCACTGCTTACAGCAAGCACCTTTGTCTTCGACAATCGGCAGTGCCAGTGAGTAATCTCTCTCTCTCTCTCTCCACAAAAATAGCAGATGATGAGAGTCATGAGACCAATTTGGATCCCTAAGTCTAGCACTTCTTCAACTTCGACAGTGCGATGGACCAGTATATGCTTTGGTTAGTCTTTCTTATTGGTAATTTGTGTCTTGCATTCTCAATTTTTCTTCCTTGGCTTAGGGATCATTGTTCAATATGCAGGACAGTGGTTTGGAGAATATTATTAAGCAATCTCAAATTGAGATCATTGAGCTGCAGCACTCTGTGGAGAAACTAAGGTACTTCTTTGTCAATGCATATGCATTATAGATATCCCCACTCCATATTAAAAACTGGGTGCACTGCTAACCTACTGCAGCCTTGTAGCAGGTTATTATTTCACATATACTTACGCGTGCGTTTTGTTCAAATTTTCCCCAGCTAGTGAGAGGTAGAGGAACAGACATAATAATAAACTGAGAGCATTCTGTCGTAGGGGTGTGGGACTCATTGCTTGACGGGAACACATTCTAAAGAAAGCCATCCACAATAAACCTAAGGTAACATGTTACATACAGCTGGCGAGTTTGCTCTAAGGCGACCTCACAAACCAGCCAAACCCCAATCCAAATTAAATAATAGAAGACTGTGGGCAAACAGTGTAATTGGCCAACATATGTGATGTCAACCATGCTTTTGGCAATTCGGTAACTAGATCCCAGTTCCTCCTTAGGCGCTGCCAAGATTGGGTCTAAATAGAACCAAGGAGGCTGATGATCACATAACCCGCATCAAGAAACTCAAAATTTTAAGTCTCCCCTCAATGTTAAGTGTCAGCTGCATCTGAGCAAGATTAACATGACAAATTATCCTAAAAGCAGTGAAAGAGTTTGAATCAATGAGGCATTAACTGTCACAGATAAATCCATGCACAGCCGTAAATAACTACAGAAATCGGAAATCACTGCCACAGTTTGAATTTTGATTGTAACACTATTGGTGTGTAGGGGATTTTCAAAGTACACGCTTTGCCCAATGTGTTTGCCTGTTAATGAACCGAGTAACACAGCTGGAAATCAAATACAATTCTCTGAAGTGGCCGACTACGCTGGCCCACCACCTCGGACTCTTTGCACACCAAGTTTAGATGCCCAACAGTTACTTCATTTTATGAGAAATGTCGCTAGCTAAATGGGTTTGCCACTTAACGTGTAATCAGCAAGTGTTTTGAACATAATTTCGTTGTGACGGTGTATTTCAACGTGATAAAATTTTGTGATGACGAGTAAATGAAAAAAATAATTTTGGAATTATTGAAATCTGAGCTACTAGGCTCGAAGGAGTGATACTGAAAATTGTTGGGGAGTTGGGGAATTGACACAATAGAAATATAGTGGTTCACCGGCTCAAGAGCTCAGTTAATCCACTCTTCAATGGAGATTCTTGCTCCTTCCTTTACTATTTACTATATCAAAAAAGATTACAGAATGTACGATGTGATACTAGGGTTTTTGCCCCTCTGTTGGGGGGGTTACATAGTATTTATAGGGGTATCCCTTAATCTATGGGATCCGATCCGTGATCCTTGCCATCTATCCGAAGAATTCTCCTTACTCTTAGGAAAGTATCTTGGTTGGTTGAGGATTTTATGCCTTGAGTGTTATTTCAAACCGTCTTTCGAGTTCTTTATAATATCTAGTTGCTTCCTCCCTACTTTAGCTTATTATCTCGT